AAAAAAAAAACTGCCAGAAAAAATGCAAACTGTCGGAAATCAAAATTCCGGTCAATTTCCGGCAGCCACTTTTGGACCACCATTACTCCAAGCTCCGGCCACATTGGCCACCAAACCAACATACCATCTCGAAGCCTCCAATGCCTTCTTCACAACCCACCAAACCCCTAGCCGTAATCCCTTTGAAATTGGCCTAAAAATCGCGCCAAAGCGGGCTCCCCACGCACAATGAAATGACCGGAGTTTGAAATTTTCGGCTATACCCATGGCATACCAACCCTCCAGGTCGATCAAGCACCCCATTTCGCCCCTATAGATGTGTTCATAACATCAAAACTAGCTGAAAATCAAGATCTGGAGCAGAATTTCGAAACGCCCCGAACAGTGAACTCGCTGCCTTCAAACCCATTTTCCGGCGCCGACACTACGAGCCACGGTCACAAAACACCACCATTAGCTTCTACTCATCAAGGCGAACAAGAAGAACATATAAAAGACACGTAAAGTTCAGTGACCGTTTGTGCAAGCTTGAAATTTCAGTGACCGTTTTATGATTTTGTTGTAAGTTCAATGACCGTTTGTGAAATTAACCCTTTGGGATTTTCTTAAAATTTTGGACTCATTTGCATTTTAAAAAAGTTTAGGAGCAAATTGCAATTTATTATTTATTTTTCTTTTATTTTGTTTTTTGTTTTATATATACAGGAGGGTATAATGGTCATTTTATGTTAAAAATTGGTGAAATGACGTGTTACGCAAGAAAATACAAAGGTAGGGACGTCTTGCACCAAAAAATCATATGTAGGGACGTTTTCCACCCAACCCGTCATTGGTAGAGACGTTTTGCGCCAATTACCCTTAAATAAAAGTTAATAATTTCTCAAATTGTCTAGGTTAGAATATATTTTATTCAACTTATATTTATTTTTAAGAATAATTTTCAATTTCAAATCTTGATTTTAAGTGTTAGGACTTGCAAATTTTTAATGCGTTCAATATCACTTTTTTTTTTTTTTTGCACAAGGGAATTAACTTGTGCCGTACTCGGATTTTAATTACTTTGAAGTTAGACTAAAATTAAAGAAAAAGAACCGTGATTTGTACATAGTGAAATTGCTCATATCAAAAGGGTTATGCTACATAACATGCAATGCTTTCTCTTGAAACCTAAGATTTCTTCCCTAGTAAGCTACTTGTGTGAAGCAGCTTTTGTCACCCAAAAAAAATATGAACGGGGCCATGTAGGCCATATTGAAACCGCATTATCCCTACTATATTAAAAGAGTAAACCTGTCGAACACTATTCATTTATGAAACTTTTTTATCCCTAATTTCTCCCTACCCACGAATTGGATTTACATGCCTACATTTGTTGACTTTCAACATGTTTACATATGCTTTGAATATTTCCTCATGCATTGGATATTTTCATGTGCAACTTTCTTAATCCCAAAGCAATATTTTCATGTGCAGCTTTCTTAATCCCAAAGCAGTCTTACTCATGATTTGGATTTTTCCGCATGCATTGGATTTTTCCCTACCACACATGCCTACAATTATTGACTTGTTACCTTTCTTTTTTTCCAGTGAATCCACCGTTTACATGCCTATTGATATTTGTTCTCCAACTTTATTTTTATCGTTTTCTTGCTACCTTAGTTACCCCGTTGATTACTATATAGACCTCTTCCTAAATGTTTGTATAGAATTGAGAGATACGTTACAATTTGCAACTTCTCCTACACTTTCTTCGCTTTAGCCTATAACAATTATTTTATTCACTACTCTTCAAATCCTCAACTTTTCAAGCATATAAGAATATTGTGAAGATTTTGACATCTCCATTGCAGTCAAAAAATCTGTTTACATTTAACGTATGCATTCTTGATTATAATATAGCTAATCGAAAACTGCGAGATAAATTACATTTTATTGATTACAATTTGTATGCAGCTGCTGGAGTAGACATCCTAAGGTATGTGTCTCCCAAAAAAACATTAAACATCAATTTCGTTTAACATATATAGCTTGCTTGCCAGTTTCACTTTTTCTTATTATTCTTCCACATGCGAAACAATTAAGTAGATTAATATATTTCATAAGAACTTTTATTATCACTGATAAAGAGAGTTCATAGAGAGAGTTATATGTTAACTTTTTTTAAAAAAAATTCTGTTCATTGCTTTCAGCTTCAATTATTGCAAACAATTTATCGTATTGTTGTCATGGATGTTCCGAATACATGTTCCGACGGAGTTACTGCTCCTTTAAATTTCGAAACAATGTCGTATCGCCAACAACAAATCCAAAGGCAAAGAGAGCGGCGAAAAAGGGTTTCGCACGGGATCTATTGATCATCGTAAAAGAATATCTCATCCTATGTCACTTGGACATAATCAAACTGAAGCTGATGTTATGTCATCCGGACATAATAATTCTAATCTTGTGAGAATACAATATCCTACAGTACATCATGATTTCCAAGATTTTGAAGTTCTACTTCAAATGAAGATTTACGTAATATATGTACATCTGTATTTGAGATCGATTTTAGTATTCATATGTGTTACCTACATGCGATAATTGTAAACATTGTAATGCAAAAAAATTTCACAGGGAAAGCAAAGATTTGTGTTACTCCGATGGAAAAGTTTATCTATCTACAATTGATTTATCCGCTGAACTGTACAACTTATTTACGTCCAAAGAACAAAAAAATATGTAATTTAAGAAGGTTACAAGAGGATATAATAACCACTTTGCTTTCACTTCATTTGGCGTCAAATACGACAAAGAGCTCTTTAAAACATATCGATGTATTTACACATTTAGAGTTCAAGGACAAGTATATCATTATGTAAACGAACTTGTCCCACAGAACAATAAAGTTAAATACGACAGAAATCTTTTCATACAAAAGTATTTACACGTTTAGAGTTCAAGGCCAAATATATCATTATGTAAATAAACTTATACCACAAGACAATAAGCCTTCTTACATGCAGTTATATTTCTATGACACAGATAATGAAATTAAAAATCGTATCAAAATTTCAGAAAATTTTGTTCAACATACTTGTTTTAATTGAAAATTTGAAGATAAATCCATATAGTAGATTTTTTTAGGTCTTTGGCTAATATATCTAACTTGCAAGATCATAAAATACATATAAGATGCGATCCAGGACTTGATCAACGTGTTTTTAACACTCCTACAGTATCTCAAGTGGCTGCTGTATGGGTCAAAGATGATGAGAATACTAATTCGCGCATCCGTGATATTATTATATACGGTCATTCTGGTGATATACATAGAGTTCATTATTATTACGGTTGTTATGATCCTTCACAGTATCTATTGCTTTTTCCGTATGAAGAATTTGGTTGGCATGAAGGCATTGGAAGATTGATGACAATCCATGGTCAACCTTCTTCTCAGTTTGTTGCTTTACCTTCAACAGTTACTTTTGCAGCCGATTTTATTGAACTTGTAGATACATTTTGTTCTAGATTTCACTTATTTATATGATGCACATGTTATAAATGAATATTTGTTTTGTTTTTGGTAGTGCTTGTTGGAACTAAGCACTGATGTCAGGTTTCTTGCCGAGAATATTATTCATACAAACTACAAATTGGGCCTTCGAGTAAGTCTGCTTTGCTCCATAGTGGAAGATTGTTACAACAATACGTTGTAGACATTTATGTTAAGATTGAAACTGCAAGATTAGACTATTTTCATAATAACCAAAAAAAAAAAAATCTGAGTTGAACTTTACCAAAGTATTGTAGATAGTGTTCAACAGGGAGAGACGAGAGGGTGTAACATTGGAAGAAAATTTATTTTGTCACTGTCTTTTACATATGGCTCTAGAGATATGCTAAAAAGATATATGGATGCAATGACTATTGTGTAGCGATATGGAAAACCCAATATATTTTTTACTATCACATGTAATCCAAATTGGTTAGATATTAGACAAGAACTAAAATACAATGATGAGATTCAAAATTGCCCAGATCTTAGTGTACTTATATTTAGAGCAAAATTAGAAGAATTGAAAAATGATTTATACATAAAAAAAACTTTAGGGCCTGTTATTGCACACATATATGATATCGAATTTCAAAAAAAAGATGTCTACATCATGCTCATTTTCTATTGATTTTCAAGCATGACCACAAATTTTGTTCGACGGTAGATGTTGATAAAATAGTTTGTTGTGAGATTTTTGACCAAAACAAATATCCTTATCTTCACTCTATTATTGTCAAACACAATATGCATGGCCCTTGTGAGGATTTAAATCCCAAAAATGTATATATGGACTCCAATAAAAAATGCAAAAATAAATTCTCTAGGGACTAGTGTAATGTTACTGTTTTTGGTGACAACTCATATCCTTTATACAAATGTCGTAATACTGTTACCAATATTAAAGTTAGGGGCATATGTTAGACAATCGCTGGGTTGCGTCATATAATTGTTACTTAAGTGCAAAATTTGATTGCCACTTAAATGTTGAAGTATGTTTTTCTATTAAA